CTGAAAGACTACCTCAATAAATAACCTTCTGAGGCACCAACAAACTTCTCAGCATTTTTCCTGATACTCCGGTTACCACTAACATTCTAGACAAAGTTGTGAAATAAATCTTTTTCTTTGTTGCTCTCCAACATCTACCGTGGACCCCTCCTCTCACTTCCTGTTTCGTCCTCTCTGCACTCCCCTATCCCACCCCATTTCTGGCTGCTGCCACCCCACGTCCCCTCATCCTGCTCTTTGCCTGAACAAGAACCCACACGCTCCTTCAGACCTCAGACACAAAGATACCCCTTCTTAGTTCCTTCCTTTTCTGCCCAAGTGGTCATATTTCCCCAGAGCTCTTCTAGATGTGACTTAGATGGTCCACAGTAGTGTGCACCTGAAGCCTAAACCCATGCTGGGAAGCTAGTGCCTGCCCAGGTTAGAGTGGAGAAGAACTCTCTGTACCTGGCACACAGTGGGTATTCGAGTAGTGTTTGCAGAATGAACAGCAGCTCAGGGGAGAAACCCTCCTGATGCAAAGGGATGCTTTACGGCCCCTTCTCCCAGCCCAGTCTGTCGCTCTGAGTGTCCTCTCGATTCCAGGAGCCACCATCACACCTGGCCCTAGGCTGTGCTGCTCCCCTCTGTCTCAGAGGCTAGAGAGCATCAGAGTCCTTTCCGCTGGCTTCTGTGGCAGAGCAAAAACTGGGTGGCATTTTTAAAGGTGCTCCGCCAGTGTGAAAGAAACACAGTGAGGCTGCATGGGTTTAAATCTCAGCTGTACCATTTACTAGCTGGGCGGCCAAGGGCAAGTACTGTGACCTCTTTGAGACTCCATTCCTTCATCTGTAACATGGGGACAAATAATCTCACCCTGTCGTGAGCAGTAATAGTACGATTAATCATTTAGCTGGCTCTTACTCATGTTCTTTGATGGGCCAGGCATACAAAGTAAGTGAAAGTGGGTTACGGCAGGTGCTCTTCTTGGTTTCTGGAGTGAACCTTCAGTTACATGGAGGCTTGGAGGCTCCTCTTTTTAGATTGCTGACTAGTTCACCCACCTTATTCATAGACCTTATTCTGTGCTTAGCTGACAGAAATCTCCTCTCAGAGAATCCCCCCGGTAAATTCTTAGGTTCTTTCCTCTTCCATTCCCCTTTTTGCTCTCTCCCTCCAAAGGCAAGAGTTTTCACTTTACAGGCCCACTGGAGAAAGTTATGGCTTCTGGTTGTGGTTTGGGGTTCACTCATCTTCACAGTCAATGACATTGAAGAAACTGGCTTCATAACCGAGCACACACCCTCATGCACACACATCATGGCTAGAGTGGAGAGAAATTCTTCATATGGGGCACTTGTACTTAATAAAAGAAAATCATATCAATCTTGTGTATTTTAGCATCCTATTACATCAGGGTCACTGATAAACTAAATGTCCAGAGTGTTTTCTAGGATGGTATATGGTCTCCAAATTAACATTAGTGAAGTTTACTGGAAGGATTACTTCTGGGCCAGGCCAGGATTTTGAGGAGAGATGTGGTTGCTGTCACCACATCATTGAAAGACTTTGGCAGAAGTGTCTTAGGCTTACTCAGGATAGCTTCAGAGGACAAAACCGGTATTGACAGAAGGAAGGTAAGGAGAAGCAGCTTCTAACCCAGGGGAAGAGAGAGTTTTCAAACTGAGAATTCAAAAATGATACTGATTCCTTGTCAGGGTCAGTGCTTCTCCCCACTGTGTGAATTACAGGGGCCATTTGTCCAAGATTCCTCAGAGCAATACTGATTTCATGTAGTTATTTGAATATAATTTTATATTGAATTCATTTTATTGTGAGTATGACCATCTTTTCAAATGTATGAGATAGTTATTTCCAGTTCCATGTACTATCTGTACATTTCTTTTGCCCGCTTTTAATTTGGGTCTTTGGCCTTTTTTCTTGTTTTTCTTATTAATTTGTAGAAGCTCTTTTTTACATAGAAAATTAATACTTTGTGACTAGTTGCAAATATTTTCAGTTGCTGAAAATACACAGTACGTGTTCCATGTAAGAGCTGAACGGCTGGTTCCTGATCGCTGCCTCCCTCCCTTCCAGCCAATAGATTTCAGAGTTTGGGCATTACCTATTGAGCCAAAGCTGACACCACAACAAGGGCAGAGCGTGGGAACAGAGTTCTCTGTCTGATTCCTGTGAACTTCCTCATACTAAATCACCAACAGCAACCTACTTATCATAGAATATGAGAATTGAACAAGTGTTGGCAAGGATGTGAAGAAATTGGAGCTCTTGTTCCAGTTGTCGATGGGAATGTAAAGTGATGTAGCCGCTGTGGAAAATAGTGTAGCAGTTCCTCAGAAAATTAAAAATAGAATGACCACATGATCTAGCAATTCCCCTTCTGGGTATATACCCAAAAGAACTGAAAGCAAAGTCTTAAAGAGATATTTGTACACCCTTGTTCATACCAGCATTATGCACAATAGCCAAAAGGTGGAAGCAACTCAAGTCTGCATCAACAGATGAATGGATGAACAAAATGTAGCATATACATACAGTGGAATACCATTTAGTCTTAGAAAGAAAGGAAATTCAAACACATGCTACAATGTGGATGGCCCTTGAATACATTATGCTAAGTGAAATAAGCCAGTCACAAAAAGACAAATACTGTATGAATCTACTTATACCCCAAGCAGTCAAATTCATGGAAGCAGAAGGTGGAATGGTGGTTGCCAAGAGCTGAGAGGAGAGAATGAAGAGCTATTGCTGAATGGGTATAGAGGCTTAGTTTTGCAAGATGAAAGAGTTCTGAAGGTGGATGTAGTGATGACTGCACGACAGTGTGAATGTATTTCACACCACTGTACACTCAAAAGGTGAAGATGGCAAATTTTATGTATATCATACCACAACTAATAATGATTTCTAAAACTTATGAGATGTAATTTCACCCTTTCCTATTGCTAAAGATCACAAATTAGAAAACACTTTGGGAAAAGGTACATGAAAATAAGTACTCTTGTGTTGATCAGAGCATAAACATAGAATCTCAGGGGAGAACAATTTGCAACTATTCTTCGACCCTTTGGTCAAGCAATTCTACTTCCAGGAATGTAGCTTACTCCCACCTGTGTGATATGGCATATAATCAAGGTTTTCCATTGCAACAAAAGATTGGAAACGACGTTTAAGTATCCATCAGTAGTGGTCTGGAGATATATATATATATATATATAATTGTCATCCAATAGAATATAATAGACTAATATGCAGCTGTTAGCCTGAGGATACTCATTACATGCTGATACAGAATAATCTCCAAGGTAGTCATATGTGTGCAAAACTGTACACAGTATGCTACCATTTGTGCTTAAAAATAAAAAGAAAACAGTATGGATCAATGTTTTTGTTTAGTTTTGTCTCAAGTAACTTTAAGTGGAGGCAAGAAACTGGTAACAGGTAACGATGATCACCCTGTTACATCTATAGAAGAAAACTAGACAGCTAGGGGACAAGGCTGGGAGGGAGACTTGCTTTCCACTATTTATCACCTTTACCTTTCAAATTTAGTACCATCTACATTTAGTACCATGATCTATTCAAAAATATTTATTAAAAAAAGAAAAAGTATAGTCTAGAAGGAAGAAAAAAACATAACAGACACTTCTAGCCCAATGCTTTGCACTGGGTGCTATGAGAGCAGAGGAAAGAAACCCAGATGGCTTCTAGACAACACCGTCTGGGGAATACATTTCTGCTATTGGATCAAGAATAGTTGTACATTTTTTCCTGGAAAGAATTGCTTTGTTTTTCTCAACAGACCTACGAATTTAGTGGACAGACCTGTGAATTAATTCACTGGCTAGGTTTTCCTTTTTACATTGGCTGTTAAAAAACTATAAGCCAAACTTATGTCCCGCTCAGTGCAAATTGGGCAGATTTTTAGGGCAAGCATTTGGCACTGGCCTTGTCCCTGGCTCTGTATTATACTCCTGTATTTGGTTTGCTTTTCCACCTGTTTCTTATGTTTGTCATCTTTCCTGTCTATGGCCGTACCATCCTGAATGTGTCTGATCGCATCTAATGTTGGTCACCTCTCCTTATTCTTTGCTTCCTTATAGGCCACTAAGCAGCCTTCTTGGTGCTAGTTAGGGTAAGTGCGTGGGTGGTGAAGGAGGGAGGAGGGGAGGAAGAAAGAAGATAGAGGTTATAAAGTAAAGCATATCCTTTTTCTTGGCTTCATCATGTAGATTAAGTGAATTGCTCTCAAAGCGTGGTCCTTGGGCCAGCAGCATTGTCATCACCTTATGTTGTTAAACATAAAAATTATTGGGTTTCATCCCAACCTACTAAGCCAGACTTTCTGTGGATGAGGCCCAGGAAACTCTCCAGGTGATTTTTACTCACATTCAAGTTTGAGAACCACAAGAAAACAAAAGGAAGGCTGATTTCTAAGATTAAATACAATACTCTCCAATTGCCTCCATGATGCCTGTTGTGTTGGTCAAGATAAATAATGCTAGCTACTGCAATAATCAATCTCCCAAATTTTATTTTTTGCCAATATCACAATCCAATGTAGATCAGTTGTGGGAGAGGTGTAAAGAGAGCTGCTTTACTAGTTTATTAAGCAAACCAGGTCCCTTCCATTGTAAGACTTTGCTATTTTCTAGGCCCTTGGACATTTCCTCTGGATCCCCTGCTGCTAAGAAGGCAGGAGAGAGAGGCAAGAGAGGAGATTTAGCAGCCAGATCTGGAAGAAACATCTTTTCTGCCCACAATTCCATTGGCTAGAAGGCAGTCTCATGGCCTATCTAACTGCAGGGGAGGTTGGGAAATGTGACCTATCTATGGAGCTAAGAGCAAAAGGAAATGGCTTTGATGAACCCCTGGCATTGTCTCTGCACACCCAAGAACCCAAGTGAATCCCAACCTCCACTTCTAGGTCATGTTTTGGTGAACATCGGTTTTCAGTTTCCTTTTCTAATCAAGTTTTACCTTTTCTTTTTTGACTCTAGCACTATGGGACTGAGTAACACTCTCTTTGTGATGGCCTTCCTGCTCTCTGGTAAGAACCTTTCAGCTTTGTTAAGTCCTGGAATCCTACTGTCTCCTGATGAGTCTGACCACTGCAAGCCCAGGCCTGAGACTTGGTGGGTTTTACTCACTTTCTACTGAGCGTTGTACAAGACCACATGCAAAAAAGACTTTCCTGGAGAAGAAGGAAGTGTTATGATTGAGAGCAGCTGATGGCAGGTAGCTGGGATGGAGCTCTCCTGCCATGTGCTTCTTCCGCCTCCGCAGTCTCACATCAGTGAGTCTAGATGCTCACAGTGGGGTAGCCTGGCCTATCCCATGGGGATAGGGGAAGGCTGCTGCACTGAGGCCCCTGAGACTTGACTCTTTTGCTCAACACATATTGTCTTCTGGTTTTTCTGACCCTGTTTCTGTCTTCCTCAGGCTCCTAGGAAACAACTGATGGAATTCCAAGTCTCCCTTCATACAGAGCACTGGTTTTCACGTCCCTGCCTTCCCTACCCTCTCTCACTCCCTTCCCTACCCTCTCTCATTCCCTTCCCTATAGCCCATGCACATACATCATGGTTGCCACAGCTTCCTGACAACTATGGATCGTCAGCTAATTGTGTCAGCTGATTCACAGTGGAGCCTAATGAAGCTGAAGCTTCAGAGCCCTCCATTTGCACAACCCTTTCTAAATCCCCCTCGAGACCCTGTGAAGGGCCCTCTAGCACTGTGGTCACATGTCTTATGCCTTGGTAAAATTTGAGTAAGTAAGATATTTTAACCACAATGAGTTATGACCACTGTCTCCTTCCTCTGCAACTTTTCCCTCCATGCCATTCTCCTCCTATCTGGTGGTGTTAGCAGTCAGGGGCATTTCGTATTTGAATTCTACATTCTTTTTCTTAACTATCCACCGCCTCCCCTCAAAATTTTAACAGCATCCAGCCTCACAAAACTCAGATCTTCCCTGTTTACTGTTCCACTTTGAGTTTCAGTTTCTTCATCTGTAAACAGGGGTTGGCTGCGGTCCCTGCCATGTATCCTGTGACTCAGTGTCTTGTAGTTACTCCTGGCCTACCTCTTCCTGCTGCTCCTTCTCTCCACCTGCAGGTCTGAGAGGGAAGCCACCCCACTAAGACAGGGAGGTGAACTGAGCCTGAAGTTTGGCTACAGCACCCACAGGCCACCAGCCATGAGTTCACCTCCTCAAGATAACCACACACCATGCCCTTGGCCACTGTTCCCATGTCTGCTGTGGGTGATGAGGAGTCAGGGAACTACAAAGAGATGGTCCCTCAGATCCATGCTCGCTGGAATAAGCCTTTTGGGATTTCTGTTTTCTGCTTAGCTTGTGGAGTCCTTGAGTGTGAGGTCTGTAGATGTGCCAGCTGTTCACTGACTTAGGTAACAACAGCAGCTTCCAACCCCCAGGGTCCATGACCTGCTACCTTAGCTCCTGGGGAGGTGGGAGGTATGCGTGTGTCAGAGAGCAAGGCAAGAAGACAAGACTGTAGAGAACATTATCCAATAAGATTCCCTTCTCATCCAACTTCTTATTTATTTATTTATTTATTATTTTTTTGAGACAGCATCTCTCTCTGTCACCCAGGCTGGAGTACAGTGGCACAGTCACAGCTCACTGTGGCCTCGATTATCTGGGCTCCAGCAATTATCCCACCTCAGCCTCCCCAAGTGCTAGAATTATATGCATCAGCCACCGCACATGACTTATTTTATTTATTTGACAAATGCATATATACACAAAGTCATGAATCATGTAACAACAGGGGTACATTCTGAGAAACACATTGTTAGGCGATTTTGTCATAGTGTAATCATCATAGAGCGTCCTTACACAAAACTAGATAGCATAGCCTGCTCCATACCTAGGCCACCTGGCATAGCCTATTGCTCCTAGACTACAAGCCTGCACAGCATGTTGCTGTGCTGAATACTGTAGGCGGCTATAACACAATGGCAAGTTTTTGTGTATCTGAACATATCTAAGCATAGAAAAAATACAGTAAAAATATGGTGTTATAATCTTATGGGACCATCATTGTATATGACTAAAATGTGGCTGTACAGTACATGACTGTATATATATACATATATACTCCTTACTTTGTGCCTGGTACTGTTCTAAGTACCTCATAAATATTAACTTGTTTAAGCCTCACAATAACTTTCTGCTTTAGATCTTGTTATTATTTCCCATTTTAAAATGTGGACACTAAAGCCCAGAGAGGTGAAGTAGTTTACCCAAGATCGACATAGCTACTAAGTGGCAGAGCTTGGATTCACACACAGCAATGTAGATTTCGCATTTGTTCACTTGACTCTTACCCTAACTCTCATGGTAAACCATGAATAAGTGGTAAGACTTCTTCCATGGGGCCTGAACAGCTTTGGTGGATAACACAGCTTCCACCTCATCCATGTTCATCCAGTGCATCCTCCCCATCACCTGCAGCTGACACCTCAGTTGACCCAAGAGCTTGGGCCCAAGCCCTTCTCATCAAAGTGACCAGCCCAGCTCTTAAGATCTGGGAGAGAAGGAAGAAAAATGTCCTGGAAACACATTTCCAGAAAACACTAAACTGGAACACCATCTCCCACCAACTTTTCTGACTCTGCACACTGAAAGTGAGAAAGTAAAGCCAAGACACTCTATGAAAACTGAGTTCAGCTGTCACTTTTGCCCTTGACTTGCTGTTGACACTTCTTAGAAATTTCTTAGCTCCTGAGAAAAGAGTTATCAATATTGAAAACAACAACTTCAAATGGTAACTGTTTAAGTTTTATGGTTTTGAGAGAATAAGTGACTATATTTTTGGCAGTGCAAATTTAAAGAAATAATGGAAAGCCCATGACATCAGATTAGAAAATAACATTGCCAATAATTCACACACGATGAAAAGCAACAACAAATCTGATTCTATTCTTCTTTAAAAAAAGGAAAAATTCCATTTGAATTCTATCCGCCTTTCTTCTCAGGGCACACCTCTGCTTACTGGGCTGGTGAACAGTGACCTAGCCACAGGGCAGGCATCCAAAGGGAGAAAGGAGATGCAATTGGCCCAAATAATCCACCCCCAAAATGTAGAGCTGAATAATTCATTTCATGTCATAGAAACAGCAATACAGTGGGGCAATTCTGTTTCACTTTTCGTTCCCTTATATGTTGTGTCCTCTGTCATGGAAATTTGACACAGTAGTATTTGCCACCCCTGCTCTTGAGGGTAAAATTGGATGGGAGTTTAAGACTGAAATGGGCACCCGTGGCCTTGCAGAATTAGGTTACAGTTTGTGCCCTGTATTTATAAAGCGAAAGGAATTTCTAGTGCCACTTGCAGAGGCACCTCTAACTTTCAAGCTCTGTTTGCCGCTGTCCTGGCACCTGCATCACACTGTTAGGCTGGAGCCAGAGAGGTTTTCGAAAAATCAGTAGCTCCCACATCAGAAGGAAGTATCTTTCCAGTTTGAGTTTTGGTAGCTGCTCTCTTTTGGTCTGAGGATTCTCTGGGTCCTAGGGCTTCTCACTTCTCTTGAACAATACCTCTAGTTAATTTCATGTACCTGGAGTGGTAGTTGGAATATTTCTTCACTTTAAGATTTTTTTTTTTTTTTTTTTTTTTTTGAGACAGAGTCTCACTCTGTCACCCAGGCTGAAGTGCAATAGCATGATCTTAACTCATGGCAACCTCCACCTCCCGGGTTCAAGCGATTCTCTTGCCTCAGCCTCCAAAGTAGCTGGGATTACAGACACCTACCACACCCAGCTAAGTGTTGTATTTTTAGAAGAGATGGGATTTCACCATGTTGGCCATGCTAGTCTCGAACTCCTGACCTCAGGTGATCTGCCCAACTCGGCCTCCCCAAAGTGCTGGGATTATAGGCATGAGCCACAGTGCCCGGCCCACTTTAAGATTTACGCAAGATTGGCTCAAACCCTTATTCCTGTGGAAAGGTCCACTGGTTTCCTCCCAGATTTTTGCAGATATCTGCGTGGATGGTTACTTTTGACTCCCATTTCCTGCTGTTGTTGATAGCCCTCATTAAAACCATCACCTGGAGGTGAACAGATAGCTGAGACCTATCATTCCCAAAGAATTGTCATGGAGCCTAATAGTTCTATTGGATCCACCCCCTTATGTTAAGCCACCATTTCAGTGTTTTTAAAAATAGATGTATGTTGTTTAGTAGGGAGTATCTTACCCCCAAATTAGTTGATTGTTTCAGTAGGGCTTTTAGTGTGTTCCAGAGAAAATGAGCAATCAGACAAGTTGATTTAGTGAAAGACAATCACTGAACAGGATGTGTATAGGGTTGTTTGGGAGCAAGAGTGAAACTGGTATGGAACAGAGAGGCTCCCAAGGCAAGCAGACATTTTTTTTGGAAGGAGCAAGTGTTTGAGAGTCTGTGGCTTATTTTTCCTTTATGAGAGGGGAGTTTTAATACCATTTCCAAAATATGTAACCTGGTATTTTGTCCCCAGAAGTCCTGTTGACATGTATGGAAGCAAAAAACTCTGTCACTCTGGCTAGAGGAGTGCAGTGGTGCCATCAAAGCTTACTGCAGCCTCTAATTCCCAGGCTCAAGAGATGTTTCTGCCTCAGCCACTGGAATAGCTGGGACTGTAAGTGCATGCCACCATGCCTAGCTAGTTTTTTTTTTTTTTTTTTTTTTTAGAAACGGGATCTCATTTTGTTGCCCAGGATGGTCTTGAACCTTTTTAAAGTGATTATCTCGTCTCAGCTTCTTAAACTCCTGGGATTATAGGCATGGCCTATTTTTATGTTTTATAATGTTTTGTACTTTTTGATGTTACTTCAAATATCTTTTTAAGTATCCTAAATATACTTATTTAAAAACTTTTTTGAGTAAATTTATCTATAAATTATTGATTTTATGTTGACAGACATTGTTCTCTATCATTAATAATGTTAAAAATAAATAAACAAAAACAAGTAACTCAATTAATGCTTACCACAGGCCAGTATTTGCTCCAGTGCTAACTCGAATATTCATTTCTTTAATCCT